CCCCCCCCCCCCCCGAGCCACCCGGACTCACCTGGCGAGGCACACCTGCAGGCCGGAAGTGACGCCAGATGGCTAGGGAGGCCGGCCCACGCTCCTAGAGCGTCCCGCCTTTCGGGCTTTCATTAGGCCGGAATAGAAGGGCGGAAGAGGGGGGGGGAAATCGGCCTCAAGCGCTTCCGTCCGCCACCGGAAGTGAGAGTCGGCCATCTTGGGAGGGGCCTAGCCCAAAACGATGCGTGTGTCATTGACCCCCCCCCCCCCCCCCCCCCCCGGGTCCGTTTGTTGCCCCCCCCCTCCCGCGTCCACGCGTGAATTAATTAATACCTGCGCGTCGGAATGCCGGCGAATCGCACCCGCAGTTCGGGTCGGGCGGCCAGCCCTCGGCCCCGCCCAAGGGGGCGCCGCTCTACCCATCGCGCCTCTATGGTCAAAAAAAAAAAAAACCCGCGATCTGGCGACGTCCCTAGAGTGACGCTCTAGCCCTCGTTTCTGAGCAACTTCCGGCCTCCTTGTGGCTGCTCCCCCTGGTCCAAAAGGGCCTTCCGACTTGGCTGCTTGACGACTGGTGGGACTTCAACTCCCAGAATCCCTTGAGCTGACATGACAGGAGGAGGAATTCTGGGAGTTGGAGTCCCCAAGTCTTCCAAGCTGTCAAGTTTGGACCCCTCTAGCTCGATTTATTGCTATTTATTTTGACCTGTCCTCCAAGGGCTCCCCCAAATCTGCATGGTCAGGTGGGGTGGAAGGTTTGGATGGAGAGATAGACTAATAATGGAACCTGGAAGGGACCTTTGGAGGTCTTCTAGTCTAACCCCCCATACGCAGGCAGGAAACGCTCTTCCCATTTCAGACAAATGGCTGTCCAGTCTCTTCTTAAAAGCCTCCAGGGATGGGGAAGGAAGGAAGGAAGAGAAGGGAGGAAAGGAAGGGAGGGAAGGGAGGATGGAAGGAAGGGAAGGAAAGAAGGAAGGAAGGAGAGGGAGGGAAGGAAGGAAGGAAAAGGAAGAGAAGGAAGAAAGGGAAGGAAGGAAATAAAGGGAAGGAAGGAAAGAGAAGGAAGAAAGGGAAGGAAGGAAAGAAGGAAGGAAGGAGAGGGAAGGAAGGAAGGAAAAGGAAGGGAGGGAAGGAAAGGAAGGGAGGGAAGGGAAGAAGAAAGGAAGGAAAAGGAAGAGAAGGAAGAAAGGGAAGGAAGGAAATAAAGGGAAGGAAAGGGATAGAAGGAAGGAAGGGAAGGAAGGAGGGAAGGAAGGAAGGAAGGAGAGGGAGGGAAGGAAGGAAGAAAAGGAAGGAAATAAAGGGATGAAAGGGAAGGGGAGGGAGAGAGGGAGGGAAGGAAGGAAAGAAGGAAGGAGAGGGAGGGAATGAAGGAAGGAAAGGAAGAGAAGGAAGAAAAGGAAGGAAGGAAATAAAGGGAAGGAAGGGAACGGGAGGGAGGAAGGAAGGAAAGAAGGAAGGAAGGAGAGGGAGGAAGAGAGGGAAGAAAGGGAAGGAAGGAAGAAAGGGAAGGAAGGAAGGAGATGGAGGGAAGGAAGGAAAGGACAGAAGAGGAAGGAAGGAACAAAAGGACAGAAGAGGAAGGGAGGAAGGAAAGGAAGGAAGGAAAGGGAAGAAGGAAGGAAGGAAAGGATAGAAGAGGAAGGAAGGTCGGAAGGGAGGGAAGGGGAGGAAGGAAAGAAAGGGGTAGGGCTGAAAGATGACAAAGACAACGCTCTGCTCCTCCAGTTGCGCTTTTATTGCCCGGGGTTGATCTCTCAGGAGCAGCTGCTCTCCCCCCCCCCCGATGCTCCCTCTTTCCAACCCTGCACCCCGTTTTCCCAGGCAGCCCCCCCCCTTCCCCAATCCCCTGGCTTGAGAGGCAGCTGAATCCGGTGTGTGTGTGGATGTGTGTGTGTGTGTGTGTGTGAGAGTTAGTGGTTAGTAGAAGTATCTTTTGCACGAGAAGAAAGTGTTAAGTGCGTAAGTCGTTTCTAATCCGCTATGGAGACACCCCACCCCCAGCCAGGGCTGTGGAGCCGGGGGGAGGAGCTTTAATCCTAATTCCAAAATGGGGGAGAGAATCGGGGGACCAAGGCCGGCCCCCCCCCCTTCCAGCTGAAAGAGGCGGAACGACTTCCAAGGAACCCTGGACGGCCTGGCTCGCTCGCTCGCTCCGGACCGCTTCCCGTAAAAGGCCTCTCGACGGGGGTTCTTCCAACCATTTTGGAACCCCCACACAAACCGGGATGTGCGAGCCGGACAGAAGAGGATTCGAAACACCCCCCCCCCTACAGAAACGAGCCACGTCGAAGCTTCGAGCCGCCAGCGTCTCACACCCAACGTTCCCGATCCACGCGGCTCGCAAAACGACGCCGAACGAGCTCCTTTGGGTCCGACGCGCTGCAAAACCCCGGGGGGTTCCCGCCAACGCGGCCGCCACGATGGAGGGGAGTTTGTCATCCCCAACCCCACGGGGAGGAGGAGGAGAAGGCTGGCCAGTCTCGGGTCAAGCCAGCGTAGAGAACCCGGGTGGAGGAGGCGCCGCCTGGAACGTCCGAAGAGGCCCAGGTTGTTTTTCTTCGCCCCGAAGATCGGCGCCCGCTTTGTCCTCCTCCCTCGCACGAGGGTTGTGGTTCGCCAGCGGCGGGCGTGAATGGCTGAGCAGCCGCGGGCGACTCGCAAGGTCATGGCTGCTCCCTGAGGAGAGAAAAGCCAGCGGAGAAACCGGAGTTCGTTGCAGGAAGCAAAGATGTTTCGAAACTCAGCCTCGTGGACATTCTAGTAGAAAAGGGATAAAAGCCAGCCTGAGAGACCGGAGTCCTTTGCAGGAAGCAAAGAAGTTCTATGCCCTTCAAGCCTTGGGGAAGATTCGGGAGTTTTATCCCATAAGGGATAAAAAGCCAGCTGAGAAACTGCAGCTCTTTGCAGGAAGCAAAGAAGTTCTATGCCCCCTTCAAAGCCTTGTGGAAGTTCGGAATATCGGAGTTGGGGTTTGGAGACTCTTTGGGTTTGTACTATTTCTTAGTAACTTCATCTCGGGTTCTTGGCAGCCTTGCACCCCCTTGGCAAAGCTCGTTCTTATCCGGGACGATGAGTTTGAAACAGGCTTTTAACCGGGAAGGAACGGAATTCGTCCAGAATCCCTCAACGGTTTCGCTGTTCCCTCGGATTGGGGTTTGCTTCCTTGGAACCAGGTTTGGATCAGAACAACGAGGAAACGGATGAGGGAAGCACGTCCGACTCTGAAAATCGGGCGGCGGGGTGTGGAGAGCTCCGACGAATCCTTCATGCCTCCAGGGGTACGAGAAGATCTCTCGGCCGAGGGTCCCGTTCAGACGATGCGAAGAAAATCGTCGGCCGATTACCGGAAGACGTTTGTGTCACCGCAGAACGCAGTCCTTGTTCCTCCTCTCCTGCTTCCGCAACCCACCTCAAAAGTCTCGCCTTCTCACCCCCCCCAAAAAACGTCGTCAGGCCTGGCTTCGTTTATTCTCCCCCCGCCTGCCTCAAAAGGCACGTTTCGTTCGTCGTCGTTGACAAGCGAGGGCCGTAGCTGGCCCACGAACGCGCCGACGGGGCCCGCTTACAGCTCGGTGCAGGTGACGGGAGTCAGCCCGTGGATCAGGAGTGTGGGCCCCAGGCCGGCGGTGAGGATCTCCAGCTGCTCCAGGTAGCGCTCGTACTGGGAGGTGTCGGCGGGAGGGCGCGGCAGGTAGAGGAAACGCACGGCCGTCTGCCCGCCTTGCTTCCGCAGCAGCTCGTTGACCGACCTCAAGTACTCATCGGTCACGCGGAAGGTGGCCGCGTTGAGGAAGGTTTCCCCCCCGCGCGTCTCTCCGGCGGGAGGACTCTCCGGGACCTCCCCGCCTCCCGTGACCGCAGGGACGGTGGCCACCTGGTCCCAGGTGACGATCTTGATGGTGGCTTTGATCCTCAGCTTGGTCAGGAGCTCCCGTAGCTTCTCCTCCTTGCTCCCCCAGCCCCCGTCCCCGGATTCCACGCAGATGAAGAGCCGCAACCGGGCCCCCTTCCAGGAGTTGACCATGGTGAGGATGCAGGCCATCTGGAGGAGGAAGAGGCTGCAGATGTCCACGTAGGTGGGCGTGTCGGGGCGGAGGAGGTTGAGGGGCCAGACGTCGATGTAGCGGCCTTCCAGGCGCTTCTTGGACGCCGAGGAAGAGAGCAGGTCCCTGTCGAGGAGGTGGAAGTAGCGGGCCAGGCAGACGTTCTTGTGCATCTTCACCGCGTCCGAGACGATGGCCACGTACTCGGAGGGCTTCAGCGCCCGCTGGTTGGCCGTCACCCGTACGGGAGGGAAGTGGGCTTGCAAGGCCGGCAAGTCCACCCCAAACTCGTCGTTCTCCCGAGCTTGGCTGAAGGCCGGATCCTCCAGGAAGTAATCCTCGGGCACCGAGTCATCGTAGAAACCCAGGACCAGGGTGTTGGGCTTCATCCCGCCTGCGGACGAAAAGAAGGCCCGCAAACCACGTCAAGGCAGCCCCCAAGTGGGTTCCCGAAAGGGAGAGGACCAACTGGGCTCCCCTCCCTTCCCCCCACCCCCAGAGTAGATGAAGACACAGCATGCGGACCGGGATGGATAACCCCGCCAATATTTTGGTCTGCGGAACGAGGACAACGTGGCTTATTGTGGCAATGAGTTGGAGACTAGGAGACTGGGAGTTCTAGTCCAGCATTAGGCCCAAAAGTTGGCTGGCTAACTTTGGACCAATCACTAGGAGACTGGGAGTTCTAGTCCAGCATTAGGCCCAAAAACTGGCTGGCTAACTTTGGACCTGGCTGGTTTGTATTGCTTTTTTCCCCCCCTCTCCTTCTCGTAACTGTTTGTGGGGGAGTTTTTTTGTCTTCCCTCAAGAGCTTGGACGCAAAGTGAAGCAATTAAAAGGGGCTTCACCCGTTCACGTTTCTCCCTTATCCTCTCTTCCTCCACGTGTGCCCCTTTAGGGTTAATTTCTCGGCACGCCCTCCGTTCCCAAGAAGGCCAACCTCCAATCCAAGGAGTGACTTACTCCCCAACTCCCCTGGTGGAGATATACTCTGAGGGAAGAGGAGGAGGAGGAGGAGGAGTGGAAGGTTGTGGAGTGGAAGGTTGTGGAGGAGGCCGA